ACCACGGGGACACAGTTATGGGCACGGGGACACCATGGGGACGGGGCTGTGGGGGTGGGGACACCGTGGGGACGGGGACACCACGGGGACGTGGTTGTGGGGGTGGGGATGTAGCTGTGGGGGTGGGGACACCTTGGGGACATAGTTATGGGCATGGGGACTCCACAGGGACATGGCCATGGTGATGGGGACACCTCAGGGACGTAGTTACAGGCATGGGGCCACCGTGGGGACACGGCCACGGGGATGGGGACACCTTGAGTTATGGGCATGGGGACTCCACAGGGACATGGCCATGGTGATGGGGACACCTCAGGGACGTAGTTACAGGCATGGGGCCACCGTGGGGACACGGCCACGGGGATGGGGACACCTTGGGGACGTAGTCATGGACATGGGGACACGGCCACGGGGATGGGGACACCTTGGGGACGTAGTCATGGACATGGGGACACGGCCACGGGGATGGGGACACTGTGGGGACGTAGTTACGGGCATGGGGCCACCACGGGGACACGGCCATGGGGACAGGGCCCTGGTGGCACTGACCGGGGACGGCGGGTGGCACGGTGCGGCGCAGGGCGGTGACGGTGGCCATGGCGATCTCCTCAGGGCTGTACTTCTTGGTGCAGGCGTGGCCTGGCGTCACCATGTTGGGCTTCAGCAGGGTCCCCTCCAGGTACACGTGGTGGTCGCTCAGCGCCTTGTAGACGGCTGCCAACACCTGGGGACACGGGGACAGGGGTGGGGACGGGGCGGGGACACGGCGGGGACGCATTGGGGACGCGTTGGGGACGTCACCCACCTTCTCGGTCACGTACTGGCAGTGTTTCAGGTCGTGGTCACCGTCCGGGAGGATCTCGGGCTCCACGATGGGGACGATGCCGTTCTGTGGGGACACGGGGGACGGTGGGGACGGGGACGCCCCACGGCGACCGGGAGGGGACACTGGGACGCAGACACGGTGGTGGGAGGTGGCCCAGGTGCCCCGGGGTGGCAGGAGGGGACGTGGAGGTGCCACCTCGTGGTGTCACCTCG